GTGTGTGTGATTTTGGGGCTTATTACAAAAGTGATGGATATGGTAAGCCTAGGTAGGGAGGGCCAGTGTGAGACGTAGACATCAAGTCTCTAGTGTGGAAAGAGGGAGGTGTACGTGCGTAATATTTGTGTTGGTTATTTCGTTTCGTGTTCGGGATATGGAGAGGGATGAGCGGGTTGGGACTCCACCTGAGTGTTCTTGAGCGGCCGAGTAGCTCATCCTAACGTCGTGAATAACAACCCGTAACAGAATCCTGTTTGTCACCAATCTTATACAATATATACACTGCCGACATACCTGTACTAAATGAATGTATTGTGTCTATATTTGCCGACGACACTTCGATAATTAGTAAAGGGTTACACTCAAACACAATATCAGCAAATCTGCAACAAGCTCTTATTGTAATCAATGATTACTTCAAAAAATGGAAAATTCTTGTAAATCCGGATAAAACGCAAGCAATATACTTTTCACGGAAACGTAAACCATGCTATTTGCCTCAACACCCACTACGTTTTCTAAATCAGGACGTTGAATGGGAAGAAAAAGTTAAATATTTGGGAGAAGAAAAAGGAAGAAAAAGTTAAATATTTGGACAGAAAACTAAATTTTGGCGCCCACATTTCATACGTCGTGGATAAAATCAATAAGGTCACCAGGATCATGTACCCATTAATTAATCGAAAATGCGCCCTTAACAAGGAAAACAAAAAATTGATTATAAAATCAATTTTCTTACCATTAATTTATTATTGTGCACCATTATTTGCGGAGGCAGCAAATTGCCACATAATGAAACTACAGGTGGCTCAAAACAAGTTATTAAAAATGATTTTTGATTTGCCCTGGCACTATTCCACCCAAAGACTGCATACCCTTTCTGGGTTCCTACTAGTGAAAGACCAACTAGAAATATCTAGATCCAATTTTGTTACTCGATGTATATCTTCGTGCTACGCCCACATCAATGAAATCTTTTCATAAATGGGTTTAACAACCCACCACATCTAGTCATTCAAATCGTAAGGTTTATTTTTTTTCCTTACATAAATAATATTAAAATGTAAAATCATAACTCCAAATGTTATAAATAAGTATAATAATTAAGTAGAAAAGGAAATATATTCCTAAACTCTTTATATATTTGTATTTACCACTGATGTAAGCTAAATAAATGAATGAATAAATATGTCAAAGAAATAGCTTAACTTATGTGTTAATAAAAATTAAGGTTAATTTCGTACCATTTTGGAACTGTGTTGATTTTTGGCAGATTACTTCATTTTAGGTGGTCCATGTCAATGAGAGAAATTTTCTCCATTAAATTTTACTATGGGCGCGCGACTAAATGTAATTCATAAATACAATGGATCTTGAGGAAAAAATCGGGAAACATTTAAGAAAAAATATTTTTTAGGTTAGTTTCCGATTTTTGTAGATTTGTCATAGACGACTCGTTTTTGGGTAATCGATGTCAATGAAGGAAATATTCTACAACAAATTTCACTATGGGTCCACGAACAAAAGAAGCCTTTTGCTATGATATATATTTGTAAGAAATTGATTATCATAGCAGTTAATACAAATTTAGGCTTATTTCTTACGATTTTTTTTCAAATAGTATTGATTTTTTTTTGCAGTTTTAATCATTAATCAATAAACATACAGTTCTTTTATACTACTACTTGATACAATTTACTTCTATTAACGACACTGAACTTAAAGGCTTTATAAGATAAGAGCTATACCCCTATCACCTCTCCAATTAAATTGTTTTGTTGCATACATACATATATGAATATAAGATGTAATGAAATCTATAAACCAATATATTTGTAATGAAAATAATAATGAATCACATCCGCAACACCTTTGTACATATATGTACATACAGGTTGGTATGTTGCTGTACAGAACTAAATACGTCCCTGCATGGCCTTTTCCAATATGTCCATACATAACTCAAATTCAATTTCTCGTAATATTTTCCAACTCTCCGTTGCCGATACTGTTTTAATGTTTTCGATTGCAAATTGAACAGCCTTTGATTTAAGGCGTTCACTGGCATGGCGATCGCCCAGAAGAAGAATATCAACCACAGTGTCAGCGCTCATTGCTTCGATTAAGAAATCTTCACACATTTTTTGCAAAGCCGACAGGGCGTATTTATTGGCCGCCACAAATAAATCTGCTGCCATTTCTTTGGGTATTTCCTCGTCCGTGTAAATGTAATTCAGTAATTCCTTAAGCACGTCCGAATCCATATCGTCGATGGTAATACTGCCGGTTAGCTTTTCCTGCAGGTCATTGCGAAACATGGCTGCAAAAACTTCACTGCGAGCACATAATACAACTTTGTGGGCCTTGAATTCAAATCGATCTTGGGCGACCAGGGTCACATCGCTGAATTCTTTGCTAGCCAAGATATTGGCAAAATCCATTGAGATGTCTGTTAAGGCTTGTTTGTTAGATTCGAATTTGAATTGCGTTGCAGATTCGCATTGTACTTCAAGGCGTACATCGACTGGCGGGTACGAACGCTTAAAACATGCAATATATTTTTGTCCGATCGTTGATATCTTCTCATTAGCTTGATCTTCATCATAACATAAGGTAGCATAGAAAATCGTGTCTTGAATATTGCATGAAATCAACATTATAGATATAAACACAAAATCACGGTTATATTGATGAAATAATTTCCATACGGATTTGACGTGGTCATTATGTACCACAATTTCAGGAGAAGAGACGTCAGAAGTATTAAACCATTCGAAATCCCAATAATATATATTATCTTCAACTTTAATGATTCTCCCACAACCAAAAGACATGTCCACTAGATTTCAGCTGACTGCTGCATTTAGCGGGGATGTTACAAAAATTGTATCAAGAAGTAATCACGGACGGATATTTATTTTGTCAATCTATTCACAGAGTCCAATGCCGTTTGACTATTGCCTTTGACGGCAATCACTAATCGGATTCGATGATGTCACACAAACACACACTGTCGGCGTCAAAGTTGAATTTAAATTAAATTATAGTTAAAAAATCGATAGAATAATTAAATAATGTATATTAAATAGAAAAATTAAAAAAAAATGTATATTGAATAGAAATATGGAAATTGTTCTATTGAAAAAATTTAAAAAAACATAAAGATTTTTTTGAACTAAATGTACAAAAAATCTTTTATGGACAAAAAATGAAATCGAAAAAATTCTATAAAAAAATGTATCGAAGATAGTGTATTTGAGAGGATCATGTTTGACTTTGATCATCTTGAAAAGATTTTGGCTACGAGAAAAAAGGATCTGCGGGTGGAGAGGACAGAATTACATATGAGATCATTAAGGCTTTGTCGGGTATTTCCAAAAGAGCCATTCTAACGGCCATGTACAATGCATTTTTTGACAACTCCATAAGCGACACCTGGAGAATTATAAAAATCATGTCAATCCCCAAACGCAATAAGGATCTTAATATTATCTCAAATTATAGACCAATTTCGGTCTTTATAAAGTGCATCGACCTTATGGTGAAGGATTTTCTGGTGGAAGATTTGGAAAAGAAGAAGGTAGTTCCTTGGAGGTCATACACCTATAGAAGAGGCTACTCAACGGCCACATTTCTTAATTACTTCGACCTTATGGTGAAGGATTTTCTGGTGGAAGATTTGGAAAAGAAGAAGGTAGTTCCTTGGAGGTCATACACCTATAGAAGAGGCTGCTCAACGGCTACATGTCTTAATTACTTCCTGCACAGAGTTGCTATCCTGAAGGCCAATAATTATAAGGTGATGGTGTTATCACTAGACATCAACAATGCCTATAATTGTATCCGGATCGACCACTGGGCAAGGCTACTTAATGATAATTCAATAAAGCCACAGATTACGGTTTGGATTATAAATTTCTTGTCCAAAAGGGTCCTGAAACTGTGAGATAAAGAAATAAAGGTCACAAATGGTATTTCTCAGGGCAATTGTCTGTCACCCATTCTTTTTAATGTATACACTGCTAATTTGCATAAGATCGAGGATCAACGGACAATGATTTTTCAATATGCTGATTATTTTTTTGCCTAAGGAAAGTAAAGAAAATTCTATACAAATTTTTATGAAAAATAATTTATAGTCATTTTTTAAAAAATCTAAAAAAATCAATAGATTTTTTTTAATAGTTTCATAGAAAATTGTTCATTATTTTATTATTATATATTTATGTCTAAGAAATTTATGTAAAGAAACTTATTAGTAAATATATGTAGGTTATTTTTATTTTTTCAGCCTTATTCTGGATGTCAATTCCACGTGAATTTGTTCGCTCTTCTTTTTCGACTTATTCGGAACAACATTTCTCAGTGAATTTTTTCGCATTCTCGCTTTCGACTTATTCTGAATGATGTTGGAAAGCTAAAAAATCCGCTTTGGGGAAAAAAATAGGTATTCTCGATTACAGGGAGTGGGAGAATGTGATGACATTTTGTGCGAATTTGTTCGCTAAGAAATTGCGAGGGAGCTGATTACAAAAATGTAAGTATTGAATATTTTTTTTATGAAAAAGATCTATACAATAATTATTCTATGACGATGTGGAATATTATAAATGATTGTATGCACATTTTTAACTCGAAAGCAAATCAGGAAAAAAAATCAAACTTCGATGTAATGAGAAAAAATTAGACGACCCCTAGAGGGTTTTCAGGGTTTTAACATCAACAAATAGATAGATTTTTTATACTACTACTTACTACAATTTACTTTTATTAACGGCACTCAAACTGAAGGCTTTATACGATAGGTTTTTGTAAGATAAGAGCTATACCCCTCTATATCACATCTTTTATTAAAACGAATTGTTACATACATATATAAATATAAGTACTAATGAAATCTATAAATGCCAATGCATTTGTATATAAAATAATAATGAATCACATCCGCAGCGCCTTTGTACATATGTACATACATGTTTGTGTGTTGCTGAACTGAACTACAAACGTTCCTGCATGGCCTTTTCCAATATGTCCATACATAACGCACGATCATTTACACGCAATCGTTTCCAGCTCTCCGTTGCCGAGACTGTTTTAATGTTTTTTATTGCAAAATGAACAGCCATTGATTTAAGGCGTTCACTGGCATGGCGATCGCATAGAAGAAGAATATCACCCACAGTGTCAGCGCTCATTGTTTCGATTAACATATTTTCACACTTTTTTTGCAAAGCCAACAGGGCGTATTTTTTGGACGCCAAAAATAAATCTGCTGCCATTTCTTTGGGTATTGCGCCGTCCGTGTAAATGAAATTCAGAAATTCATTGAGAACTTTCGAATCCATATCATCAATGGTAATACTGCCGGTTTTCTTCACCTGCAGGTCATTGCGAAACATGTCAGCAAAAACTTCACTGCGAGCGCATAATACAACTTTGTGGACCTTGAATCCAATTCCATCCTTGGCGACCAGGGTCACATCGCTGAATTCTGTTTTAATGTTTTTTATTGCAAATTGAACAGCCACAGATTTAAGGCGTTCACTGGCATGGCGATGGCATAGAAGAAGAATATCAACCACAGTGTCAGCGCTCATTGTTTCGATTAACATATTTTCACACATTTTTTGCAAAGCCAACAGGGCGTATTTTTTGGACGCCAAAAATAAATCTGCTGCCATTTCTTTGGGTATTGCGCGGTCCGTGTAAATGAAATTCAGCAATTCTTTGAGAACTTTCGAATCCATATCATCAATGGTAATACTGCCGGTTTTCTTCACCTGCAGGTCATTGCGAAACATGTCTGCAAAAACTTCACTGCGAGCGCATAATACAACTTTGTGGACCTTGAATTCAATTCCATCTTGGGCGACCAGGGTCACATCGCTGAATTCTTTGCTAGCCAAGATATTGGCAAAATCCTTCGAGATGTCTGTTACTTTGCTAGCCAAGATATTGGCAAAATCCTTCGATTTGTCTGTTAAGGCTTGATTTTTAGGTGGGTATTTGATATACGATCGATCAGATTCGCATTGTACTTCAAGATGTATTTGGCTGTACCAATTGCCACGTCTGGTAACTGGATTTCGATTGAAAAAAAATCTTGATATCTTTTTCGCTCCCTGATATCTTCTTAGTACCTCTATAGTTATCATAACTTATGGTAACGTGGAAAAGCGTTTTCTGGATACTGCATGAAATCAACATTGCATGGAAAAACAAACCATCTCCTCCAAAGTTAACCAAATATAATCTCCACATGGATTTTAGTTGTCCATTATGTATTGCAATTTCAGGAGAACAGCCTTCATAAATACTAAAATCTTCGATATCCCAATGATATTTATTATCGTCAACTTTAGTGATTGTTCCAATCACTCGATTTCTGCTGTCTGCATTTAGTTTGCATGCTCCAAACATTGTATCAAGAAGTAACCACGGACGGATATTTATTTTGTCAGTCGGTTCACAGAGTCCAATGCCGTTTGATTAGTGCCTTTGACGGCAATTAATGATCTCATACGATGATCTCACACACTGTCGGCGTCAAAGTAGAATTTAATATATAGCTATTGGTGTTGTTGATGAATTAAAACACAGCGGTTATCTTAACAACACTTTAATAACTATTTTATTTGATATTATGTAGTTCAAAAGACAATAAAAAGGAATTTAATTTCAATAATGTCGATTTGCCACAACTGTGGTGTTGAAGATTTCGCGAGCAACTAACTTTAGCTTTCTTCTTTGTTGCCTCTTGTCAGAGTTAGAGTCTAAACGCAACCAGAGAGTCTAGAGTCAGCGACGGTCGTTTACCGTTTATTTCTTATTGACAACGGGAAATCGCGACGGCTGACGTTTGCGTCTAGCGGCTTGACTTCAGAATAGTTTTATTAATTTATGCCTAGCGTCATACTCAAATTTTCTCTCTTGCTCTCAATTGAGTTGCCATATTTTAGGAAAAAATCAGCAGTGCTACCAACATTTCAGTGGCAATCCCACGGCGGCTGGTTCTTTGTACCGGTTTGACTCGGAGATGGACTCCGACCAGAGGCTGCCAACTCAACAATTACATGTTCGTGTTCGTCATTTTTGTCATGGGAGCGGAATTATATCCCGGAATGCCTGCTCCGAACCCTACTGGTCCGTGCCGGGATTGAAAGTAACCCCGGACCTTGGTTCTGCAGTGTTTGCAGAAACCGCATCCACCACAGATATGTCTCGGTGAGATGCAATGGATGTGGTGAATGGGTGCATTTTCGAGGCTGCTCTGGGCTGAACAGGATCCAGCAGTACTGCGAAAGGAGTTACGTCGCTTCATGCTGCGCTAGCACGTCTCCCAGTGTGTCTCAGGAGTCGTCGTCCGATTCATCATCCGAATCGTCATCGTCGGAGTACAAGACTCCCCCGCAGTCTCCCCAACAGCAAAATGTGCAGCATTTAACACCACATATTGCTGTTCCGCGCCTTGAAACTGCATCGTTTTCGCAGTTTAACTGCGACGGTCTTCGCAACAAAATCAGCGAAATTGTAGAATAGAGAATAGTGGTCGGTGCGATCCAAGAAACCAAGCTAACTGAGAACTGTAGCTTGCAGCCTTGCGATGGTTACAACGTTGTGCGGAAGGACCGTACCAGAAGCGGAGGTGGGGGACTCGCATTCTTATTACACCATTCTGTCCAGTACAGACCTATCTCGCTTGAGCTATACTCTAGTGACTCATACATGGAATGTATGAGGGTAACAGTCAAGTGTGGAACTGCCGAGGTAGAGGCGCTCAATGTTTATATACCGCCGATGAATAGCTGTACACCGCGTTATTTACCGGATATCAGTCCGCTTTTAGAAGGTAATAACCGCCTGGTATTAGGGGATTTCAATGTCCACCATGAATTATGGCATTCCGTCCTAGGTAATGACCAGAGGGATACAGCGCTGGCTGAGCAAATTTATAGCTCAACATTTTGCACGGTTATTGAGGATGCCCCCACGAGGATAAGAGGAGATTGTCACAGCTCGCCAGACATCAACATTTTGGCACCGGGTCTGATAAATGACGTAACCTGGCAACCCGTCGTTTCACTAGGCTCAGACCACCTTACGATCATCGTCTTCGTAAACAGACCACCAGACTTCATAACATCTGACAGCCGTACTCAGATCCACGGGTAGCTGAGAGGAATTTCCGTAAAAGCATCGCTACTGCTGCCGCACGCTTCATACCTGCTGGTCGAATACCCGAAGTAAGACCTAACTTCCCAGCAGAAGCAACGGTATTGGCTAATGAGCGTGATGAGCTCCGTGGTACTACTCCTGAAGACCCAAGAGTGCGAGAGCTTACCCTTGAAGTCAACAGATTAGTATGCGAAGCAATGCAACATTGTCACCGGAACAAGTAAATTGTGGGCAACGGTTAAGTCACTCTCGAATCCTGGAAGGAAAGATGACAGGACGGCTGTTACATTTAACGAGGTAACTGTGACAAACCCGAAGAGGTGCGCGAGTTATTTTCACCGGCAGTTCATAGAGAACCCCGAGAGTGACAGGGTGGAAAGGAGTGTGCTACGTCGCATAAGGGCACTCCGAGCTGAGGAGGAACCACCACAATTTACGAAGGAGGATGTTGCAGATGTCATTAATAACGCTAAGTCATCCAAAGCGTTGGGCCCGGACGGAATTTCTATGGTAATGCTAAAGCAGCTGGATGAACCTGGAGTTGAGTACTTAACATCAGCCCTCAACTTGTCGTTAACCACCCACATAGTTCCTGAAGCCTGGAAAATAGGCAGGGTGGTCTCGCTATTGAAGCCAGGCAAGGATGCCAGCAGGGGTGAATCGTACAGGCCGATTTCACTCCAGTCGCCGGTAGCGAAGACACTTGAGGCGCTACTCCTCCCATCGTTTAGAAGCAGTTTTCCAGTTGCCCAACACCAACATGGATTCCGTAAGATGCATAGCACAACAACAGCATTACACGCCATTTCCACACACATAAGCAGAGGACTCAACCGGAAAAGGCCGTGCAACCGAACAGTTATGGTGGCACTTGACCTATCGAAGGCCTTCGATACCGTCAACCATGCCAAGCTGTTCGAGCAAAGACATAAAAGTATAAAGATAGGACAATTGAATTTCCAAAGTGGCCGTTAGATGGCTTTTGTTCTGTTGTTACGATATCGATATAGCAAATAATATTAAACGTTTTAAGGGCTATATCGCTAGCTTATAAAATGAAAACATATATTTTGAGTGCAGATCTGTGATTTTATTTAAATTTTATTCACACATTTTCGCGTATTGGCGCTTTTATTCTTAACATACCACTTTTAACCTTGATTCCACCTGGATATTTTTTCATAAACTATTTTGTCAAAATGCATTTTGTCGAGTCTTTACGGTTTCTATGTCTTTGGTTCGAGAAGGGGTGATATCTCCTGTGTTTGAAACTGTTTAACCTCTACCTTTCTGATATTCCACAACCACCGGACGGCATAGAGATCGTAATGTATGGCACGATCATGGCGTCGGGTCCCATTATTGATGATATATGTGAGAGGCTAAACATCTACATAGCCGAAATTGTTAACTTCTTCCATCTGAGGAATATGAAAATATCCGCCACCAAATCAACAGCCACACTGTTCACCACATGGACGGCTGAAATGAAGCTTCCACTGAACATAATGGTCGATGGAGAATTGATTCCGACCACCAACTACCCCAAGATATTGGGAGTAACGTTCGACAGCCTTTTCAAGTCGTCCGCTCATGCCACTGCTTTATGCGATAAGCTAAGAAGTAGGAACAAGGTCCTCAAGTCGCTAGCCGGCAGCACTTGGGGCGCTGACAAAGAAACCTTGTTGACCTCTTATAAAGCAATAGGCCGGTCAGTGGTAAGCTATGCGGCGCCAGTGTGGTTCGCGAATGTCAGTGATACGCAGTGGAAGAATATTCAGACCTGCCAGAACGCTGCCCTGAGAACTGCAACAGGGTGTCTCCTCATGACTCCAGTGGACCATCTACATGAGGAGACGAAGATCTTTCCCGTCCATCGTCACAACTATATGTTGTCGATGCAGTACCTGCTTAGGTGTTATAGTCAGGAACATCCCTGATATAGCCTTATGGACAGGACTCCCCCACCCTACTTTATGAGGATTTGACATAGATGCAAAGGAATTGACAATTGAAACCCACTGGGTTAACGAAATCCAGTTAAATGTAAACGAACTATTACTGAGATTTAAATATAGTAGAAGATGTATACTCAAGCATCTTTTTTTGGTATTATTTGTTCCGTCACTTTCGACATGGCAGCAAGTATTGAAATGGGACGTAGGTCACCAAGTCCATTAACTGATCGAGACTTAGGAATAGGGATAATACGTGCGGTTTTCCAAATCCTTGGAAAAGTGGACGACTTCAAAATTGAGTTAATCAAATTGACAATCGATGGTGCAACTAAGTGATAAATTTCTTTAATAAAATTAATGGGAATTCCATCTACACCAATAGATCTTGATCGTACCTTACATAAACATCTATCAAATATAGTGTTCCAAAAAGCATCCATACCAGATTCTGAGCTTGTATGTAAATGGTGCACCAAAATGCCTATAAATCCTTCGATTTACACGAAATTTGGCACAGCGTACTAAATTAAGTCTAAAACGTTGTGTTAAATTTTTTGGAAATCGGTTCAGATTTAGATATAGCTCCCATATATATATTACGCCTGGTTTTATGTTAATGGTGTACCAAAGTCCCTATATACCCTTCGATTTGCACGAAATTTGGCATAGTGTACTGAATTGAGTATAGAATGATGTGTGGTAAGTTTCGGAAAAATCGGTTCAGCTCCCACATATACATTCGTCCGATTATACCTAAATGATGCACCATACCCCTAATGTTTGTCCGATTAACACGAAATTTGTGCACAACGTATCAAATTGAGACTTGAACGTCGTTATTGCGTTTTCTTAAAATTGGTACAGATGCAGCAAAAAAGGGAAGCCTCCTGACAAAGCCCTTTCATATCGATCAATTGCTTTGATTTCAAATTGGAGAAAAATCTTTGAACGAATGATATTTCGGAAGATTGGTCATCATTTTGAATCACATGATAAACATCATAATTCTCAATTTGGTTTCCGAAAAAAAAAAACGATCAACACGGGACACGTTAACCTGCTTGTGGACAGCAGCGCAACAGGCTAAAAGAGAAAGGAAGTATTTAATGGCAATTTTCTTAGACATAAAAAACGCTTTTGAAAACGTCAACATCGATATTTTAATGGATAAATACAAACTCCTCGGAATAAGACAACACATCTGCTCAGTCTTATACTGCCTTTTCCAATTTAAAGACCTTATAGAAGGTGAAGAGAATTCTATTATACGCAAATCATTCGCAGGAACTCCACAAGGCTCTATACTAAGCCCCCTAAGTTTCAATCTGTATATAAATGAAATTGTTGATGACCTGGGAATCGAAATATTAGCCTATGCGGATGACCTCGTAATATTTTGCGCAAAAATTAAATTCAATTTCTTGGGTTTTGTACTAGATTCAAAAATGAACATGATATCTCACATTGATTATTGTCATAAATCCTCATTTCAATTTATGAACATTATGAGAGCCCTATGCGGAGTATCCTGGGGAGGCAACCCACAACAACTCATCCGTTTGTATATTGGTCTAGTCCGACCCAAAATCGAATATATGGGTCATCTCCTTCACGACTGTCCATCCAGTAAAATGTTGAAACTTCAAACGGTACAGTTCCGGGCCCTAAGAACTGCACTTGGCGCCATGATTTCGACCCACACCCAAGCTCTGGAAGTAGAGGCAAACATCATACCATCTTGCAAGAAAGAATCACGCTTCTGGCAAATAATTACATAAATAACGTTTTAACTTATAGTAACAACCCTGTCAACAGATTTATTACAAAATATAACATATACGACCTACTTTCCTACACCTATATGAAAAGAAAAGAACATCAACAAATCTTATGAAATTTGAAAGGCCCAGTCAGTATGAGTACCCTCTGTTGAGGCGAACCTTCTCATTCCTGAAGCGAAATTTTTAAACGTGTGTAAAAAACGTTCCTTGCCAGCAGATATTCTCAACATATACAACACTACCATGAAAGCGAAATTCGACAAATACACCCGCTCTAAAACAAGTGACAAAACCAGCAGTTTCATATGGATTCCATCTTTAGACATTGAATCATCATTTTCATTAGATAAATCTTGCTCGATATTCTCCGCTGAAACGAATGCTATTCTTGAGGCCCTGCTGTTCATAAAAAAATTGTGACGCAGGCAATTATATCATAATCTCTGTTCTATCGGCTATTGGTTCCCAAAACAGCAAGAACGCCCATTCCTCTATTTACAAAATAAAGTTGGAGGCGTTTCAACTGACTAGAACTGCATACGCCATTCAATTCCTATGGGTGCCAAGTCACTGCGGCATAGACGACAACGAATATACTGATTCTATTGCCACCAATCACAATCCAGACAACTATTATCTGGAATTATACTCACCTGACCTACGACAACAAGATAAGTCCTCGGCTATAACATCTTGGCAAAATAAATGGAACACAAGTGTATTCGGCAGAAGATTTTATTCATTTGCGCCAAAAGTCAATTGCCAACCTTGGTTCCACACAATAACAAATTACTCAGACATGTCATAAGAACAATATCGAGACTAAGGTTTGGTCATAACCAGACGAAAAACCATTTACATAAAATAAATATATCCAACAAATGCGAATGCGAATACATTCAAACTACATTACTTTTGATTGGCCGGAGGTCTATGTCAACATCAGGCATTCCCTACTACAAAACCTACGAAAACTTGGTATTTGTAAGCCTTCAATTGATGTCATTCTAAAAGAGAATTACATGAAATCATATCGAAATACTACAAGGAAGCAGATATAGAAATTTAAAATAACAAAGATAACATATTCTACAATATACAAAAATTCCCGTGAAAGTGGCAACATAGACTTAGTGCCTCATGTCACTTTAAATTCCACCCCAATTGCGGTGGAATTGACATATGGCAACATATGTCTGAAGAAGAAGAAGAAGCAAACAAAATAAATATCCGTCCGTCGTTACTTCTTGATACAATTTTTTTTAAAACATACCCGCTAAGTGCAGTGTGCTGAAATGTAATGGAAATGGATACTGTTTGGAAAATCAATAAAGTAGACGATAATGAATATACCTGCAAGATCCAAAAGCTTTATAGACCATCTAAAGGCACTTCTCCGGAAATTGTCGTACATAATGGCCACGTCAAATCCGTATGGAAATTACTTCATGATTATAATATAGATTTTCTGTATATATCCATAATGTTGATTTCACGCAGTATCCAAGACACGGTTTTCCAAGTTACCTTAAGTTATGGTAGATATCAAGCTACTAGGATGATGTCAATGAACGAAAGATGTACCAAGCTGACTTACAGTCGCTATCAAATTTTTGGGGATCGCAACGCATTCGCTCAATTCCACCTTGAAGTACAATGCGAATCTGCCACGCAAATCAAATGCGAACCTAAAAAGCAAGCCATAACAGACATCTCAAAGGATTTTGCCAATATCTTGGCTAGCAAAGAATTCAGCGATGTGACCCTGGTCACCAAAGATCGAGTTGAATTCAAAGCCCACAAACTTGTATTATGCGTTCGCAGTGACGTTTTTGCAGCCAAGTTTCGCAATGACCTGCAGGAGGAACAAAAAACCGCCAGTATTACCATCGACGATATGGATTCAAAAGTTCTCAAGGAATTGCTGAATTACATGTACACGGACAGCGTAATAGCCAAGGAAATGGCAGGAGATCTATTTGTGGCGGCCAAAAAATACGCCCTTTTGGGTTTACAAGAAATGTGTGTAGATATGTTAATCGATACAATGAGTACGGACACAGTGGCTGATATTCTTCTTCTGGGCAATCGCCATTCCAATGAACGCCTCAAATCTGAGGCTGCTCACTTTGCAATGGAAAACATTAAAACAGTCATGGCAACGGAGAGCTGGAAAAGATTGCGACAAAATGAACTTGAGTTATGTATGGACATATTGGAAAAGGCCATGCAGGAACGTTTGTAGTTCAGTTCAGCTACATACAAATATGTATGCACATATGTACAAAAGCGCTGCGGATGTGATTCAATATTCATTGTATTTACAAATGCATTGGCATTTATAGATTTCATTATGACTTTGTATATTTATATGTGTATGTAACAAATCGTTTTAATAAAAGAGGTGATATAGAGGTGTATAGCTCTTATCGTATAAATACCTATCGTATAAAAGCCTTTAAGTTGAGTGCCCTTAATAAAAAAAATAGTAAATTGTAGTAAGTAGTAGTATAAAAGGTCTGTCCATTTGTTGATGTTATGTGCGCTGAAAACCCTTTGGGGGTCGTCAAATTTTTTCTCATGGAAATTTTTCATTTCTTCCAAGTTAAATTTCTTTTCTGATTTGCTGGTCCAGTTTAATTGTAAGTAAGTAGGATCTTTCGTTCGAATATCTGAAATTCTTTGGCCACAATTGATGAGATCGTGAACGAGATTGCGAATCCGTATAAAAGGTTGGATCGAATTGCTACTTTATACAAAAGCAATTTTGTGTTCTGTGGGAAATACTTGTTTCTCGATTTTCATCGGTTTTCGGATTTTCTCGATTTTCATTGCAAGTCTCAGTGAAAAACTAAAATTGATGCAGAGACCCACATCAATTGAAAGGTCTCGAAATGTACTTTCAGAATATATAAACCCTATGCCGAAAAACAAACTTTCGCCTAACCGATTTTCTCGATTTTCATTGCAAGTCTCAGTGACAGTGGGAACTCTGTGTAGAAAACGCCCTATTGCGCAAAAACTAAAATGGATGCAGTATGGAGACCCACATCAATTGAAAGGTCTCGAAATGTACCTTCAGAATATATACACCCTATGCCGAAAAACAAACTTTCGCCTAACGGATTTTCTCGATTTTCATTGCAAGTCTCAGTGACAGTGTGAACTCTGTGTAGATTGACACCCAAGTATTTCATATGGATGAATTTCAACAACTATTCGTTTCCTCAGTAGTTGGACGTTATTTGCATTTACGAAACATGATTTCATTGTCAAGTGCAAGATAACATTTATAATATACCTGGCTACACATTGTTCCATGCGGATCGTGCATCTTTTGCTGGTGGCGTGTGCTTTATGCCTTAAAAATGGCAATAAATGTAAAGTTATATCGACATCTAAAAGTTCCAGCCCGAATTAGTAAAGGGTGATTTTTTTGAGGTTAGGATTTTCATGCATTAGTATTTGACAGATCACGTGGGATTTCAGACATGGTGTCAAAGAGAAATATGCTCAGTATGCTTTGACATTTCATCATGAATAGACTTACTAACGAGCAACGCTTGCAAATCATTGAATTTTATTACCAAAATCAGTGTTCGGTTCGAAATGTGTTTCGCGCTTTACGTCCGATTTATGGTCTACATAATCGACCAAGTGAGCAAACAATTAATGCGATTGTGACCAAGTTTCGCACTCAGTTTACTTTATTGGACATTAAACCAACCACATGAATGCGTACAGAAGAGAATATTGCGTCCGTTTCTAAAAGTGTTGCTGAAGACCGTGAAATGTCGATTCGTCGCCGTTCGCAGCAATTGGGTTTGTGTTATTCAACTGAAGCCGAACGATCTGCCACAACGTCGAATTTTCAGTGAATGGGCCCTAGAAATATTGGCAGAAAATCCGCTTTTTTATCGACAAATTTTGTTCAGGGATGAGGCTCATTTCTGGTTGAATGGCTACGTAAATAAGCAAAATTGCCGCATTTGGAGTGAAGAGCAACCAGAAGCCGTTCAAGAACTGCCCATGCATCCCGAAAAATGCACTGTTTGGTGTGGTTTGTACGCTGGTGGAATCATTGGACCGTATTTTTTCAAAGATGCTGTTGGACGCAACGTTACGGTGAATGGCGATCGCTATCGTTCGATGCTAACAAACTTTTTGTTACCAAAAATGGAAGAACTGAACATGGTTGACATGTGGTTTCAACAAGATGGCGCTACATGCCACACAGCTCGCGATTCTATGGCCATTTTGAGGGAAAACTTCGGAGAACAATTCATCTCAAGAAATGGACCGGTAAGTTGGCCACCAAGATCATGCGATTTGACGCCTTTAGGCTATTTTTTGTGGGCCTACGTCAAGTCTAAAGTCTACAGAAATAAGCCAGCAACTATTCCAGCTTTGGAAGACAACATTTCCGAAGAAATTCGTGCTATTCCGGCCGAAATGCTCGAAAAAGTTGCCCAAAATTGGACTTTCCGAATGGAACACCTAAGACGCAGCCGCGGTCAACATTTAAATGAAATTATCTTCAAAAAGTAAATGTCATGGACCAATCTAACGTTTCAAATAAAGAACCGATGAGATTTTGCAAATATTATGCGTTTTTTTTTTTTTAAAAAGTTATCAAGCTCTTAAATCACTCTTTATATCATCATGGATATAAATCTAACAAAGTCTCAAAAACTTCTAATCGGTTGTGTTTACAGGCCGAATCAATATTCGGAAGTTACTGAACTAATTTCAGAGTTACAAAAATATCTCAATGATATTATTATCTGTGGCGATTTTAACAGTAATATTCTGTTGGAAAATACGTTATCCGATGAGTTTGGAATCTTCGACTTGTATCCTTTTTACATGACCACAAATCCTACTCATTATCATACTAGTTCGAATAGTCTAATCGACATAATTTTTTGTCTAACAATCTATCAAAAATACTGCTGTATGATCATGTATGATTTACTACAATTATAAATGCTCAACACCAGTAAGCATCAAAATTTAAATGGAAGAAAATAGTTTAGACACAAGTTTAGACCCCATTCAAATAATGATATCGATATTGAAGAGTGAAATCAAAAATTCATTGGTCCAAAATTTGGCGGTCAATTCTGATAATGTTTATTCACATTTAAATATCGTTCAAAATGAAAATGAGTTTTCCTTTAGATGTATCGAATAGACTGAAGTTCTTTCAACATTCAATGAAATTAAATCGAATGCTGAGGCGTGGTATTTAATGAAAAACTATCATGGTCGAATCACATTAATATGACAGCTGGAAAAGTGCATGGATTGCTACGCAACCTGTGGGCAGTTCAAACCTATACCCCCATGGAAATACGCATGTTATTTGCAAAGTCATACCTTTTTTTACAATTGTGATAATGCTATCCAAAGCAAGCTTAAAGTTACGCTTAATAATAAATTTGCAAGATGTATATATTTAGTAAAAAACGTTGTGATAGAATTTCTGAGCTTGCCTATAAGATCTTCAAAATGACATTTGAAAACTACCTTAAATGTAAACTTAGAGAATTAGATTTATGTATCAATTTAGAAGAGTTATTAAAATCTCTGACGATTCCATCTATTTCCAGGTTTTCCAGATTTCTGTTAGTAGGTGGCATAAGTTGTTGAGAGAGTGCATCTATTTCATTCTGGAATCTGGCCCAATCCGTATTTTAATACGATGTAAACATCCTAGGGGCTCTGATATTAAATTCAGTACAATCCATATGCAGAGACAATGACAATGGGCTAGTGATCTGAAAATTACGGTAATGTTTGTAACGTATAATGTTGTCGGTTTCCGCTTATAAGATGTGAATTTATACGAAAATGGTCCCGGTATGAAGAACCGTTTGGATAAGATGGTGATGTGGCGGCGTGTGGAGTTACCTCCAGCGAGTTATCATCCAACCAGTTTGAAACAACTTTTCCATTGGAATTAACATAAGAGTCTCCCCAGGTGGTATTTTTGGAATTGAGGTCTCTACCATAAGGATAAAGACATCAAAATGTTGACAGAGTTAAAGAACTTTATCCAAATCAATTCTCATTTGTTGCAAAGAATAATTGCAAGGAATGTATATTGATCCCAGAAGCCATCCCAGATCCCAGATTCGACATCAAGTGGCATTAGCAACTTGATGTCGAATCTATCTGGATAAAATATGTACTGATACCAATACCATCTAGAGTGATTCTGTTATATGGCATAGAATTCTTTATTGCCACTGTTACTCCAACAGATGAATTTTTTTATACAATATTGTAACCAGATGTTTTAATTCTTTTGTTTCTTCGTAGGTGGATTTCCTGAACAAATTTTTAACTCGAAAGCAAATCAGAAAAACATCAAACTTCGAAGTAATGAAAAATTTCCATGAGAAAAAATTAGACGACCACCAAAGGGTTTTCAGCGCACCTAACATCAACAAATGGACAAACCTTTTATACTACTACTTACTACAATTTACTTTTTTTTAATAACGGCACTCAACTTAAAGGCTTTATACGATAGGTCTTTGCAAGATAAGAGGTATACCCCTCTATATAACCTCTTTTATTAAAACGAATTGTTACATACATATATAAATATATAAAGTCGTAATGAAATCTATAAATGCCAATGCATTTGTAAATACAATAATAATGAATCACATCCGCAGAGCCTTTGTACATATGTGCATACATATTTGTATGTAGCTGAACTGAACTACAAACGTTCCTGTATGGACTTTTCCAAAACGTCCATGCATAACTCATGATGGATTTCTCGCAATCTTTTCCAACTCTCCGTTGCCGAGACGGCTTTAATTTCTTCTATTGCAAATTGAACAGCCTTTGATTTAACGCGTTCACTAGCATGGCGATCGCCCAGAAGAAGAATATCAGCCAAAGTGTCCGTAGTCATTGTATCGATTAACATATCTTCACACATTTCTTGCAAACCCAACAGGGCATATTTATTGGCTGCCACAAGTAGATCTGCTGCCATTTCTTGGGGTATTTTCTGGTCCGTGTACATGTAATTCAGCAATTCCTTGAGTACTTTCGAATCCATATCGTCGATGGTAATACTGCCGGTTTTTTGTTTCTCCTGCAGGTCATTGCGAAACATGGCTGCAAAAACTTCACTGCGAACGCATAATACAAGTTTGTGGGCATTGAATTCAACTCGATCTTTTGCTTTTTACGTTCGCATTCGATTTGCGATCGATCAGATTCACATTGTACTTCAAGGTGTACTCGAAAGTTCTGGGAGTTCCCATTGAAATGCCTAAAACTTGGAACACTATTTAAAGGATGGTTTTGATTCGTTGATATCCTCCTAGTACCTTGATAGCCATTACTAGTTATGGTAACATCGAAAATCGTGTCTTGGATATTGCATGAAAGCAACACTGCAAATATTTCCATAATTAAAACACGATTTTTAAACTTTAATTCCCACACGGATTTGACGTGACCATTTTGTACCACAATTTCAGGAGAAGTGCCTTTATTAATCCCTAGGATATCCCAATGATATTTATTATTTTCAACTTTACTAATTGTCCAAACAATATCCATTTCCACTAGATTTCAGCTGACTGCTGCACTTGGCGGGATGTTCCAAAAATTGTATCACGAAGTAATCACGGACGGATATTTATTTTGCCAATCTGTTCACAGAGTCCACTGCCGTTTGATTATTGCCTCTCACGGCATTTTCTGGTCTGATTCGATGATGTCCACAGCAATTGGTA